ATTCTATGATTCTATGATTCTATGATTCTATACTGTGGCTGTGGCCTAATCGCCGATGGTTTGGATCTCTTTGGTGGGTTTTTTGACCTGATTTTTTACATCTTTCCTGTAATGAGTCCCTCACTAGGATGGCCAGATCGTAAGCACTGGTTGTCTCAAACTGATGTAGTTATTTTCTTCTTTAGATGAATCCTATTACGTGGAGCTGTGAGCTGCAAAGCATTTGATACTAGAAGTGGACTCTGAAGTAGTTGCTTTAATGTCTTGAAAAATCAGCAAGAACAAGCTAGGATGTGCAAACTGTGTGTAGCTGTTCAGGTTGAAGAGGGAGGAATAAAAAGCAGTTTCCATTCCAGCTTCCTGTTATCTACCAGTTTTATCTTTTCCTGAAGTTTTTACCCTTTAAACTGAAATCAAAAAATCTAGACTCTTGGCAAAAGATAAACTTCGGCTCTCTTCGTTTGGGGATAAGAGAGACTGGGGGATGGGAGGCAGGCTCTCAGGAATATCCTGCTATTTTTAAGCTCGAATAGTGGGAGAAGAAATTATTTCAATAGTAAGAGCGTTTGGTCATTTGGGTGGGATTTTTTTTTTTTAGACTGGCTTCCAGCAGTTGATACAGTACATTAAAAGTATAATGCAACCAGTAAGTGGTGGTATCGGAAGTTTTGTCCTTGCCATGAGCTGTCTGAACAATCACGCAGAGGATGCATGATGAGTGATGGGGTGAATGTGCAAAAGAATTAGTGTGTGCATGGGGAGCATGCCGAGGATTGCTGTGTGTAGTGTCACTTCTCGGAAAATTTGACTGCTGTAGCTCAGTAAAGGAAGCAGCGAGTGGAGAAGGGAGTCACCATGGTCTTCCACAGCACATGGGTCGGGGAGAGCCTTCACAGGCTTTGCACGGGGACGGGTCTGCTCATCCTTGACTGTGTGGGTGCATGTGGCTGTGCTGCTGTACGTTGTCACCTTGTATTGTCACCTGCATCTAGGCAAAAGCGTCAGGTAAACAGACTCCTCCTGTCTGGGTGCATTTACGGAGGGGTGGCAGGGTTGTGAGTCCACATATAAATTTACATCAAGCATTTCCAGGCTTTTAAGGGCTGAGCTGTGTAATCTTCATAACTTTCTATGAAATTAACTTTTCATCCATTATGCATCAGCATTCAGCTCCAAACACTAACAATAAAACAACACTTTTTTAAAGTGGTTTTCTCTTATAAAGAGGTGATGTCTCTGGAAGCTCCCTGAGCTGAACAAACTGCAGTAAAAGCTACATTAAAATTTTGTTAAAATGCATGTGAAAGCACCTGAATGAGGTGCTGTGGATGCTGGAGGCGCTCTGGGGGCATTAGTGTGGTACCCTGCAGAGGATCTCTGGCCATACTGAGGTGTACCTGTACCTGTCAGTAAGATTTGCAATAACATCCAAAGGTGTTGCTGAAAATGACTTACAGAAGTGTGTGCTGGCTTAATACAATGACGTTTTGGAAAAAAAAGATGAAGTGTAGTGGAATTTTTCTCCCTTAGTGAAAATGAGAGGAATTCCATCAATTTATCTGGTTTTCAAGTAAATAAGTTTTTGGGGTTTTTTGAATTTTTTTTTTAGGTGATGGAAACTGAGAAGTCTCAAGATCCAGCTTGTGCAGAAGTGTCCAAAGGAAACAACCAGAGTCCAACTCTGGGAATTGGCATACTGAAATACAGAAGTCGATCCCAAGGTAAAGCTGGGTTGATAAATAGTAATGTAGCAATAGTAAGATTTTTATTTTGCATACTTATTTTAGCTCTCTAAAAGTGAGATACGTTTTCTTTCCTTTGGAGATCATATTAGTTTAATTTGGAAGGAAAATCCCAGTTGTAAGATGTTTGCATTCAGACTCCTGAGTTGGAACTATTGTATGGACGGGAAGATGAAGCAAAATTTTGGAAGTTTCTTTCTTTTCTTTTTTTTCCTTCTCTGCCTCTGTTTTTTTGACATCTACATTCCCTATATATTTCAGAGTGCTCTAATACTGAGGTGGTAGACATGTTTCAATGTGCTTTTACCAAAATACCCATTATGGCAAAATCTCCGGAAATTTTCTATTGCTTTGTCCCCAAGTCTTAACAGTAACCTGTGTGCAGAACTCAATCACATTCTCATCCCTAATACTCTCCAAGTCTCCCTCCATCCTATGTTTACCTTAATTTCCATTTAATCAGATATTTTTAGCATGCTCCACGTTGCTTGTCTGCCTGCAGCCCCTGTGGCTGTGTATTGGTGGCTCTCTGGGGATCCAGCCCGGGTTCCCATGGGCGCTGATGCCCCTGGGCTGTGGGTGAGCCTGGAGCATCCCCCAGCCTGGTCCCAAGCCTGGGCTGCAGCACAGGAAAGGAAGCTGCATTCAGAGACGGGCAGAAAACACAGAAATATAACTGTTCTCCTAGAAGAAGAGAGGAGAGGTGATGGGAAAGAGATAGCTGTAGATGCCAGGAGGATTTGAGAGTGAAGGCAGTGCCGGGATGCCAGGTCCTGCCAAGGTAGCTGTCCTGGCTGTGTGCAGCAGCAGTGTGCTACTTCCCTGGGGAAGGCGAGCTTTAAAATTGGAGGCAATTTCACACCCCAAAGCAGGGAGGGAGTTTAAATTGCACTCTGGGCAGTGGGTACAAATTTTGCCTAGGGATGGGGCAGCAGAATTGCCTTAATGCTGAGTGAAAACAAGCGGCTGCCCCAGCTCTGTGCTCCATCCCTCCCTGGCACTGGCAGCAATGCTGGCACAGCCACTGGGCAAGGAGAAGGTGGCAAAAAACAGGTCTGGGGCTCTCCTGGGCAAATATGCGGTGGGTATATCTCAGCCCATGCCTTGTGAGCCCCATCCCCAGGGTAAGGACAGGGCAGTGAGGACGAAGGGAAAGCAGCACTGCCCCTTTCTGTGGCAGCTCCAACTTACGTTGATTTAAAGTAATCTTAAAGCCACGTCATGAAATTCAGTGAACCTGGCCTGTCTGTGTATTGGGTTTTCATCTGTAAAATAAGGGTTAATGGCCCTTCCCTGCATGGTGAGGCAAATGGCAAGGATAAATGTGCAGGAACTGCTGTGACTGTGGATCCTGTGGGGACCCTGGAGAAAATGAGAATTGGAGGAGCCCTGTTGCGAGGAGCGGGATACTCTGCAGCTAATTACAGGATGTCCTTCAAGACAAATAATTCTGTTTCTAATGTGAACTCTGCACTCTTCTCCTCTTTAAGACAACTAGGATCATTGCCAGAAGGAAAGAAAATAGCATTTATTTGGCACATTTTTCCTTTTTCCATTCCAGAAAAATTTCCCTCAAAGTGACATGACACCTCCAGAAATGAATACTGCTATAGTGTCAGGTCTTTTAATTTTAAATAAATGAAGCTTGAGAGCTTAGTGCGCTGGCAAGTGCCATTGGGTGAGAACAGCTGAATTTCTTTTCTGTCCCTGAGCTACTGGCTCAATTATCTTTCTGCTTTTCCTTACTACCACGAGCGACAGCGCTGAGGATTTCAGCATCAGTGAAAGATCGTAGAAAACCTGTGACAGCAGGAAAAGTTTTTAGTTGAGGATGATCAAAACCAGCTTATAACTGCCCAGCTGGGAACCGTGTAGCGTTGTTTTGCGGCACTGTTTAAGCTGGGATTTGCAGGAGGCGATTATTGCGTGCTGGCGAGAGGACGAAGCAGCTCTGAGATGTTTGCAAGACATATTTCTGTGGTTTTCCCTAGGTGCTGGCTCCCGCTTGGAGTCTGTGGGAGAAGACGATGAGCTGACAGTGGAAAACGGTGAATCAAGTTACGAAATAGCAGTGAAATATTCCCGGGGTGGAAGAAAGCACTCTCTGCCCCAGCAGCTGGAGTCGGCAGGAGCCAGGCAGGTGGGTGGAAAGGCAAGGGCTGGCTCTGAGCACCTCACTGTGCTCAGTCCTTCAGGACCTGTCTAGAGCTCGTAGAAGCGAGGGTGGTGAAACAAGGCTGCATAGGTACATCACAGGGACTGAAATCAGGCCTGGACACCAAAATGGGATACCTTGGCCACCTATGGAGAACTTCTTCACTCTGGAGATGGTGAAGGGGGCTAGTTCTTGCTGTGGCCAGGAGGTCCTAAGGCTGATCTTATGAGTTGCAGTTCTAGACATCTGAGGGCTTAAACGAAAAAAAAATGCTGCTTCTCTTTATTTTAATGACTTGATGATACAGGCTTTTTTTTTTTTTTGTAGCAGATAAGGACTTCAGTATATCATGAGACTACCCTTAATCTTTTTAATTTAAATTGTGAGTGGTACATTACAAAATGATCTTACTGTGCAAAATGTGGGAAAATTACTGTGGCAAGATTCACTTTGACTGTAATGAGCTAGGATTTTATCCCTTGAACATTTTTCTGAATATATCTGTAAGATCCGCCCCCCCCCCCCTTCTCCGACACACACAATTTTCCCAGTATGACATCCCAGTGGCTCTGCCAAGCAATCAAAGCGACTTCCCTTGTTTGCTGATGTTTATTAGGACTACCATATTGTGAAGAAATCCACCCGTTCCTTCAGTGCTGCCCAAGTGGAATCTCCATGGAGACTGACCCAGCCTTCCATCATTTCCAACATTGTCCTGATGAAAGGACAAGGCAAGGTGAGGATTTCTGCATGTGGCTGGTTTCTCACTGGTAACAAGAGCTGGCATTTAAGAGGTGTCTCCAATGCCCAGGACTCCCAGCAGCTCTTGGGTAGCCAATAACAGTAATAACAATAATGATAAACAAATCCCATTTTCAAATGTAAATGCCAAAGTTATGCCTGCTAAATATGGGGGAAGCAATGTTCATGCCACGCACTTCACGCGGGGTGGCTTTCATTCTGATGTGGTGCATCTGGTCATTACTGAGATATCAAATATTAATAATAGAGCTATAAATATGTATGTTTATGCAAAGTTGGTGCAGCTACAGAAGAGTACCTGTTTGCATGCATATTTATGGACAAGCATGTTTTGTCTCTGTGGAATCTGGATACATTAAAAAAAAAATCGCTGCAAATTAAGCGTTAAACCGAAAGACAGGTTCCTGGTTGATTGCTTATCTGAGAGCACTGAATTCTCTGGGTCAGAGAGTCCTTGTTTCTCCACCCAATAATGTGTCTGCACATTTGCTAGATACAAGCTGGCTGAATGCTAAGGAAAAATAGGCAAGCATTAACCTAGGTGTATATTGTTTTCCCTAATCCAATCCACACTAGTGTTTAAATATGCTAAAAATATGCATGTCTTTTTCTGATATACTCTTTAAATTCATCAGATGGATGTGTTTTGGACTAAAAAGACTTGTTTTGACTTTCAAGCTCAAATACAAAACAAATTCTTTGTTGTGCTTTAAGTTTAGCAAAGAGTTAGAAATAGTGACTTATCTCGGTAGATTGACTCACGGTTGCTGTAACTCTCCTTGTTTTGGGAGCTTCAGGTCTTTTATGACACTTCCAAGCAAATATTTCTTCGTTTTTCACGTACTTATTTTTTGACCCCATTTTTCTCATAAGAATTAGATTATTTCTTCCTGTGGGATAAGCCACCCTCTCCTGCCTTTCTGCAATTAGCTCCAAGGCATTACAGAGCAGTTGGGAGCGTGCAGACTCTAGTGGGCATGAACCACCTCAAACAGCTGCTGTTTTGGCTGCCTTTCACCCACTTTTTGAGCGATTGCCTCTGTTAGGGGTTGCACTGTGTACAATTCGTACAGCGGCGTTTGCTTTATTATCTCTGTTGCAGACCTGGGACTTGAGAAGTACTTCCACAGAGCCACCGTGTTGGTGGCTGGGAGCCAGGTGTTTGCCCTCAGTTTTTCACCTGTGGGTAGATCTGCAAGGGGTGATGTTCTTCTATGGAGTGGCAGCACTTCTCTGGGAAGGTGGGCTAACGTGGCTTTGCAGCCCTGTTTCTCCCAGCCCACCCCAGGGAGCCGTGGGGAGAACCGCTATGTCCGTGCAGGGGAACGCGAGGAGCCTCCTGCTTTCCGTAGGTGGCTCTGCAGTTGACAACTGCACAGCAGACAGGTAGTGGAGTTATTTGGTGTTGCACAGGGGAGCTGGGATGCTTCCTTTCTAGAAGTCGGTAATGTCTTATCAAGTTCCTAGGAGCTCATAACTGCAGTAGTCTACTTTATATTCACGGAGTAAAACAAAAGAGCTGGTTGTCGTGTTGGGTTGTAAACACAGTGTTAGTGCCTGCCCTGGCAGCATCCCTCAGCTGGAGAGTGCTGCCTGAGGTGCTAATAACAACCCTGGCTTCGGATCACTGAAGCACAACAGTTTTCCGCTTCCCTTGTCCACCTGGTCGGTGACTTTTGTCTTTATTCTGTAAAATACATGTACAGCGGTGACAAGAGGAGAAATATGGCAGGGGAACGGATCAAGGAAGTGATTTGGCTGGGAAATAGCTCAGCAGAAGGGGGAGAGGTTCATTCTGCTGTGCTCATCCGTTCCCTGATCAGCTTCGCAAGACAGTCCCGCAGCCAGCCGGGGCAGTGCAGGGGCAAGAGCTAACAGATGGAGCCCTGGGGAGTGTATTGATCTAGATTTATTTAAATACATCGTGGTACATGTCTCCAGAATAATTAAAAATGTACATGTGCATGGCAGTCCCCCCACGCCAGCCCCCTTCCAGCTACATTCCTGACATTACAGCACTGACCTTATGTCATGTTCTTAAGCTTTTCTTTTTCCTGAGGAAACGCAGGATCTGTGACAGCAGAGAAAACTACAGTTAATCCTGGATATAGATCTCAGGGGTGGGAATCTACTGTCTGTCAATTTAAGAGCAATGTGTTACAGTTTTTAAAATGGGAATAGGATAACATAAAGCCATTGACACAGTGTTTAAAAAAAAAAAATCTCGAAATAGAATTTTTGTCTTTCAGCTTATGGTGCCTGCTGCTACTTTTTGGGCTGGTAGGTGTGTTAATATTAGAGTGAAAGTAAATTGGGAAATGCAAGCAGAGGTAAGATGGCGGTGTGATTCAGCAGCAGCTATTAGGTTTTCATCTTCCCTTTGTCTCGTACGTTATCGGCAGTCTTTCTCACACAGGTGATAATAGAGTAAGGTGCCAGCTGTGTGTCTTCTCCTGCCTTCTCTGTAGGGTCTTGGATTCAGCATTGTGGGAGGTCAGGATTCTGCTCGCGGACGCATGGGGATTTTCGTGAAGACTATATTCCCAAATGGAGCAGCGGCTGCTGATGGAAGGCTTAAAGAAGGTATGGTAGAGAGAATCCAACTGCATATAAAGGACCACAGTGGGATATTATTTCAATCCAGCAGAAAAATTCAAGTACAGCTTTATTTAGGCACCTGGCCATCAGCAAGAGGCTGTGGAGGATGTAACACACCCTGCTTGTCCATCCTGGGGAAGATCATTCATAGCAGTTAACTTGATTATGTTGCATATTGGGAAGGGGAAACTACAGCATGATGTTGGGGTTTTTTTCCCTTCCTCTTCAGTGAACTGTATTTACCCAAGCCATAAGCTGCAATTCTTCAGTTGGAGGGTCACTGATAGCAGTGAAAAGTATCTACTCAACCAACATCTGGCTTCAAGGTGCTGGTCCAAGAAGGGGTTATACAGAGGGACGTGCTTGGGAGAGGCTGTTCTGGGGCCTTGTGCTCTCAGAGTCTCTTGGTATGATTTTGACAAGGATCAACAAGTAAGAGTCATAATCAGAAAAAGAAAAGAGGCAGGATAGAATTGGCAGTAAGATCACCCAGCTGGTTAGAGAAGCATATATATCCTGATTTTATTACTGCTTTTCCAGTCCTGATCTCTGAGCTGGATGTATAGACTATTCAGTTTGTGTTTGCACCCTGGTCTGAGTAGTCCCACACCGGACAGACTCTTACACACTGTTGGAAGTATGAAGTGACCATGAGTTTAAAGCAGTGGCTTACAACTCTTCTGCAGGGGTTTGTTTACTTCTCATCTGCAGAAAGCTGCTCCTGTGCTACTACTACTCTCCTTCTCATATCACCATTCCCCTCATTACATCTCATCACACTTGTTGTGTTTGAGGCTGCTTTTGGTGCCAACTCTCACACTTACTGCCAGAGGGAAGCTCTCATCCCTACAGCATAGGTTGTGCACTCGCCGTGGGAAGCCAACAAGTAGCAGCTGTGCCATAAACCCAGCAAGCCTTTGCAGGCTATTCAGAGCTCACATACGCTTTTTTTTTTAAATTTTTTTTTTATTTTAACTGGGGCAAGGAAAAGAGAGGAGGGTAGTCTTGGCTGATGGCATCGCCCCATCTGATTTTGCACAGATGCAAGTAAAATTGCAGAAAGTAGATCTGAATCCTCCTCACTTTGCTGATCACTCCTTTTAATAAAATGAAGGTAGATCAACACAGCTGGGTGCAAGTAGTAAGATGCAGCACCTGGAAGCAGGTAGAAATGTGATGGGACGTTCTTTGGGGTGAGAAGGGCATTTGCTATTGCAGTGTGGGGGCTACTCGCTTCTCTGTCCACAGGCGTTTAGTAAGAGCACACGATTGCTTTCTGCAGCAAGGCCACTTTTCTCAGAACAGGCTTTGGAGTGATGTGCTGTAGCATTTCACTTAGATTCTTCTTTCTTCTCCTGATACACACAAAAGAAAGGGAGTTTTGTAGTCCCTTTGGACTTCACATTACAAGCATCTATTTTCAGACTTCAGTTAAAATCCATAGTGTTTTCAGCTTATTAGTATGAGAATGCTAAGCTAAGGATCTCTGCTGAAGAACAGTCTTTACTCTGCTAATTCATCACTATTAACTTGTAAAGGCATTAGGACAAGTGAAAATAAACTGAGAACAGTAAAAGGTTTTTTACTGAGCAGTTAATTGGAATCCTTATAGTAGCGGGTCGCCTTATGTACAGGAAGGGTTTTTACATCTCTATAGTCTATATATTGCTGACTTCATTTTTTGTATCTAATTACCAGGGGATGAAATCCTAGAAGTTAATGGCGAGTCTCTACAAGGGCTGACCCATCAGGAGGCCATTCAGAGGTTTAAGGTAACATAGATGTGCTACAGGAGAGATTCATGCACCTCTTCGTTCAGTGCCATTCAGCACCCTGGGCTTTACATTCTTTTGCTGCCACGAGTTACAGTATGCAGGTTTTCTGGCAAATGTTGGTGTATCGTGTCGCCTTACTGCGGCTCTCTGATGTCTCTCCAGCAACTGAAGAAAGGAGTGGTGACCCTGACGGTGCGCACGCGGCTGCGCAGCCCGAACCTCACGCCCTGTGCGACTCCCACCTTGCTGAGCCGCTCCAGCTCCCCCAGCTCCAGTGCCAGCGGTGGCACGCCAGTCCCCGGCCCTGATGAGGCGGATGGTTCCTCCTCCAGCCGCAAAGGACCCGGCCCGAAGGACAGGATTGTCATGGATGTGACGCTCAATAAAGGTGAGGGTCCCTTGATGTGGGCTTGGAGAACGAATCCCTGCTTCTTTGGTGAGTTTTTGGGAATAGGCTAGAGGCTCTAATATTCAGGTCACCTACCTGTGTCCATCTGATCTTAAACCACAGGATGGGGGAGAAAAATATCCTCTAATGCAAACATCTTTAAAGAGCATCGCCTTCCACACTTTGCTGCTCCAGAGTCAGGAGGCTCTTACGGGTAGCAGTCGGTGTCCATCCTGCTGATTTTTTGCTGAAAGGGGGAGGCTGAGAGATAACAGGCAAAACGGGAATTGGCCTCTCAGCGGCCTAAATGGCCATGCCCTTCTTGCAAAGAGCAGCTCTGGGAAAGGCAAAGCCATGCAGAATGCTCAAAATTGCCCCGATGAGCTGCTTGAACTCCCGCCTGAGGGTTGCCGTCATTATGAATAATTGCACAAGATAAACTCAGAGCACATGCTATATGTGGTGGGACAAATGTGCCGATTTTAAAGGCTTAAAATATGCTGATTTTAAAGGTTGGATTAAAAATTTGGAGAGAGAAGGTAAGACATCCATCAATTCCTACTTTAGGAATGCTGTTACCTGAAGGAAAGCAAAGGTGAAAGTGGACAGAGGTAATCACTGAACCAGAGATAACTCCTCAGTTTTCTTCATGCCTCTTTGCTGAGGGATGCCATGCAGATGTTTAACAAAAGAGAGCAGTACAGCTGGCAGCATCATCTGTGCTCAGGTTTTGTGCAGTAATTTTAAATGGCATCTTTATTGGATTGCTGCCCCCACTCCTTTGTGCCTTGGACCAGATCGGACCTTGTGTGACATTTCCAGGCGGTTCCCACGGCACACAGAAAATTTGCTGGGAGTGAGGGATCTCAGAAAACAGTCAGGATCAGATATTTTCAATCCTGATTTCTACTTGGCTTGGCTTCCTGACTGACTGCACCTAAGGCCAACCCTGAAACAATACATGAGTCTTGGTCTCAGATGGGATGTGGGAACACAAACACTTGTGTGTCCTGTGCGATTACAATCTGCTACTTTTCTTTGTACTTTTTGTTTTTCACAGAGCCAGGGGTTGGGCTCGGCATTGGTGCCTGTTGTCTCACGCTGGAAAACAGTTCTCCGGGGATATACATTCACAGCCTGGCCCCAGGATCAGTGGCTAAAATGGATGGCAGATTAAGGTTAGTTAAAGCAGAAACATGCTGGAGTGGTTTTACAATAAAATTGATTGAGACTTTGTTTTCACCAATTGGTTGGTGTAGCTGGGAGGGGATTTATACTTTAAAGATCACCAGAAAGAAAACATTTAAATAAAGACATTCCAAAGTGGTATTAAATACCCAGGAAACATTATGCTGTGTGCTGGAAGCAGCATAATTATTAAGGTTTGGGCTTTTTTTTTTTTTTTTTTTAATTCTCTATACAGAAAACTGAGCCTAATAGCACCCTTTGAGAAAGGCGAGCAGCAAGAAGTGCAGCCTCATGTCTTTTTATCAGAGCTGCAGCCAGAGACTCCAGATTGGGAGGAAATCTGCAGAGCTCTGCTAAAAGCTCAGTCACCTGAAACTTAAAAAGAGCTGGGGGAGATGTTCTTGCAGCTGACTGTGCCCCTGCCCGCAGCAGTGCTTTTCTGCCCTCACTGTCTGTCTGGCAGGATCGTTGCAGGCTGACCTGCCCATTTCATTTACTCTGTCATGGAGTTTGGATGTCTTTAAGCAACCATAAGAGAGAGAAGCAATCAGTCCTAGGGTTCCCTTGTGCTTTATGTTGGATTAAGCGACAGAAAGTCGTTTGCTGTTCCTCTCCTGGAGGCTTCATTT